TTACGTGAGTCTGGAACATTCCTTTTCTGGTTCTTTCAATCTGTACATTCCTTTTTGTTCGTAAACACAATTCCCCCATTCGTAGTTAGTTTTTTTTGCAGATATTATTGGTTGTAGTTTCTAAGTCCACATTCACACTACAGGCTTTGCATACGAAACACTTGCTTTATATTATGTGTATTCTTTTTCGTCCTATTCTTATTTATTTATTTAACTCATTCCTGTTAATGTTAGCACTCCAATACGAACTCGCCTTCACTGTCTATTTCTAGGTGACGTCAATGAAGGAAATTTGCTGTGAATGTCATGAAATCCGCCTTTTCTTCACGATTTGAGGGAAAATTGCCTGAGAAACCAAAGTATGTACATACACAACAATCATTTACCATTTCTCAATGTATTTTTTGTATACGCCCTGTGATTTTTTTCAAATACCTCATAAATGCTAACTGCAATTTCAATATGCTGACGTGTCCCTTCTCATTCACTGCGCAAACACTTCTGTATAGTATGCTATCACATTGTTAGCAATCAATGTACCCCTTACCAGTTCGCATAACTTTGACCTCGGAGGTCGTTCCTAATAATTTTTCCTTGAACTTTTCATGTCCAACGACTTCGTTTTGAAACAGTGCACACTACATGCGTATAGCGGAATTCCACTTAGTCCGGCTCTTAAGACCTGAGAGGTGCAAAAGGAAATCCAGTTTGTAATTTAAAACCGGTGGCCCCGTAGCCGATCATTACTTCAGTATGTAAATAGAGGAGATAGGCGGAGCTTTTGAGAACCCTGTTAAACGGCATTTTCTTGAAAAACGTGTATAACTATGTGCGTGGGTTATAGTAATCCTTGTTGGACATGTCGATGGTCTTCAAGAAAATTGTTATCAAGTCTTCTTTTAAAGCAAACGAATGCGACTGCAGCCCTCTCTTAATCCTGAATCACTGTATATCCTTCCCAACAAGGCGTTTTCTTTCAGGTACCTTGGTTTCATTTTGTCGCCAAATCTTCAATTGCCCCTCCATATTGAGACCCTTTTCACCCAAGTTTGCGGAACCCTTTATTACATCCACCGTTTACGTTCCTATCACACGTATCAATTCTTGGTCTGGAGATTTATAGATGCCTGCATTATCTCTGTAATTTTTTATTCTTCTCCTCTCATTTCTTTTGTTATGCTTAGAAAGGATGTTAACTTCAAAGTGATTCCCATAAATGCTTTTTACTGCTGCTTATATTTCTTATGTCTTTCTGTCGAAATTTCAAAGCGGTCAATCAGTCGCTAGTCGAATTTTGAATGGCGTTATCCATCCCCGTCATCCTGACCTAATTGCTGCAAAGTCCTCTCACTCCATGCCCATCGGTATATCAGCATCCTCTGTTGCCATTTCTGGCACGTTATCTTACGTTGTAAGAGACACAAATACAGAAAATGTGACTTGATCTCTCCTCGTTATAGATGTTATTGCTTACGTCAACCTCTTGATTCTTGAGTAACTTTTTAACTTATATTTGTCTACAGGTAATGCGACCCCTTTGAAGCCTTTTTTCCCTGTGCATTTGGTCCTGATCAGGAGATCTACACTCTTTAAGCGCAAGGTGTTCTGTTCTTACGTGAAGTCGATGCTTTCCACTCCTACGCCGTTTGTTCCAGTAATGAGTTCAGCCTAGGCAACGTCAGTTCCGTCTTCGAAAATGATGCATGAAATGGCTTAGCTGTTCTGCCTTAGCATTATTTTCCACAACGTCCTCATTTTATTCTCCTTTTAACGCTGTGACCGCCTTTTTGTTCTTTAGTCTCTTGCTGGCGTAACTGAAGACTATTTTTAGCTTATTAACGACTCATTCCATAGTCTGTGTTTCAGACTCTCCCGCGACTTATTACATGTTTGCTCTTATCTCTTTTCGCTTTCGGCTAAATGGCATGTTATGCAAAGGCCGTTTTATTGCCACATACATTCTCTAAATGTTTTTTTCCGAACACGGGTTGCAACTCAGTAGCTACAAACGCAGATGCCGGTAACAGTAGAACAACGAAAGCGAAGCCGCAAATAAGGGCAGACTCGATTTCCAATCAAGTAAACTTAAGCGATGTCACAAAAAATTTCTGGCGCGGAAGCTATCTCGCCTTCTCCTTTTGCTGAAAGTAACAGGGTTTGTCTTTTGCCGAGAGACGATATAACTAGGTCGTCCAGTTTACTGTTGCCCTCTTTTTCTCGCAACCACCCCGAGTGCTCTACAGAACACGTATTTGAATGCGAAGACAGGAACCCGTGG